ACTATCACACATTCACAATAAAACATTTGAAAAGAAAACAACAAAACTTCATATTGTCAGGGGGAAAAAAAAGACTGTCCTCATGAAAGGGTAAGTGTATTGGAAGGGAGAGACGCAGTGTTTGTTGAGTGCTTACTATATCCCAGGCACAGAACTAGACTCCCAGTGTACTTTAGACCACTTGATTCAAACAAATAAAGTGAAGTTGTGGTTGTTAGTTACTGTGGCATCGGCTCCAACTCCTGGTGACCCCATGTGTGCAGAGTAGAACTGTCCTCCATAGGGTTTTCAGGGCTGTAAACTTTCAGAAGCAGATTGCCAGGGTTTTCTTCCGCAGCACCTCGGAGTGGATTTGAACCACCAAATTTTCAGCTAGCAGTCGAGTGTTTACACTGTGCCATCCAGGCTCTGGAGAGCCTTTCTTATATTCTGAGTGTAACTGAAAATCTGGAAGGAATTAAAATGAGGAGGGAGTGGTGTTCATTCATTTGAAATCCTTCAATGATTTGACATCACGTTTATAATAACATTGAAAGTCTACACCATGGTCTACCCACTTTGCTCTGTCTGCCCCAGCCACACTGGCCTTTTTCCTCTTTCTTGTATGAGCTGTGCTTGTTTAGAACTCAGAGTCTTTGTACTTCTGGCTCTCTCTCATGGAAGTACAGCCCCCTGCCCCACCTCTGTATGTTTACGTAGGTTACTTCTCCGAACCATCAAGAATTGTGTGCAAAGGTGAGTAACTGATGTCGGCAATTCATATTCTGGAATGTGAATGGGTCACCTTGGGTCAAATCACAGCCAATAATAGAATATACTTTGGGAATGCTTCAAAACAATTATTGGACTGGAAAGTGAGCGTTGAGAACCAGCCACCTGCATCTAGAACATTCAGTTTAGGACCAAGTTCTTTCTTATGCATCAGCCTGTTCAAACGCTTGGAGTGTCCTTTGTTCTGGGCCTTGGGACAGTTGGCCTCTTGCCATTGTCACCATTGTATTGACCAGTAGGAAAGGGGGTGCTATGTCTTTGGGGTCAGACGGACCTGGATATTCTCCCCCATCCTTACTTACCTCACTTGTTTTCAACCATTAAATGGTGTTGCTGTCAGTTACCGTCCAGATGACCTCATGTGTGCAGAGTGGGACTGCACTCCATAGGGCTTTCAAGGCTGTGGTTTTTCAGAAGGAGATAGCCAGGCCTTTCTTCACAACACCTCAGAGTGAGTTTGAACCCTCAACCTTTTGGGAGGCAGTCAAGCGCTTAACCATTTGTGCCACCTGGGACGCCAACTATTCAATGAGTGAGCACAAAACCCATCTCGGATAGCTTGTTATAAGTATGGCAGATTCTAGACTGGACCTCGTAAATGGAGAAGGTGTACAAATAGATGTCAATTACTGTTTATGGAGATGGGAGAAAGACACATTTTGCCACTTCCTCTAAACCCTCTTCCTTTTTAAAAATTGTGGTAATTATATAGGTGACAAAACTTTTAACTTAGGTTCATCATGATATCCATCAGTCTTAATTACCCCAGATCACCGAGTCTTCCCACCCTGCCCTTGGTAATCACTAATAAACTTTGGTCTCTATATACTTACCTATTCTTTAAAATATATTTTTTTTGTTGTTTTGAGTGAAGGTTTACACAGCAGTTTAGGTTCCCATTCAGCTATTTCCATACAAGTTGTTCAGTGACATTGATTACATGCTTCACACTGTGTGAACATACTCATGGTTTCCATTCCAGTTGTTCTGTTTCCATTAATCTAGTTTCCCTACCCTGTTACATTCTCATCTATGTTTTAAAGTCATTGTTGACTGTTTGGTCTCATAAGGTGATTTTTAAATATATACTTGCCTATCAGAGTCCTGGTGTGGTGCTGTGGGCTAATGCGTCAGACTACAAAGTTGTTTGAACTGCAAAGTCAG